ATGTATATATACTAAACGTTATATTGACAATAGATCATTATATTTTCATTGATTTCGTTCTTTGTTTCCTGTTATATTAAAAGTACTGTACAATTAGTTAATCTAATTCTTAATTTATTGCTTATTGGGTTATTTATGTATAGGAACAGCACATTCAGACCGCCACTACATTTGTCATATGCTTATCAACCACATTCATTTTGTTTTGCTACTCATGCTACCTAATACATTAAGATAAATAAAAATATATAAATTTGTAACAATGCTTTCTGCAACAGAGTTTAGGTTCAATTATAATTAATATAAATAAAGCCAAGCTTGAGTAATGACGAAAAATATATTTTATTTTATAGTAGTATAAAATATAAAAATTATATGACCATGACAGAAATTTAATTTTAAAGTACATGACAAGTAACTAGAGTGAAGTATTTAGAAAAAATACAAAAATACAACCGAATTTTTTTTTTAGGCTGGATGTAAATCACTAATTGATTTAAATGCTTTACCTAGTACGTTATTAAATAAATGGTTTAACAATATATTCTATTTTTATATCTTCATATGTTAATGGCTGTTGATTATATAATATAATTTTTAAATTAATTATACGAATATCTGAAAATAAAGCATTTAATTTTCATAAAAATTTTCACCGGTACATCTGCAAAAATCTACACAAAGACCTTGCTTTTGCAAAACTGCATTGTTGTGCACAAAAATTATATACATACAGCATACATACACACAATATACATAAATATGTAGTTGTCCATCTAAAGATCGAAAGAGAGAGACAGTACCATATTTTTCATATTAATTGGCAGTTCATTTTATAATGTTTCTCCATTATGTTGGGCAACGATATATAATTGCCGCGATATAGTCCGCAATATAGCAATAGATTATCTGTATCTGTATTACTTTCCTCCCAGCTCAAACATAGTATGTATAGCTTGTGTAGGGTTGCATTATGTGTGCAATGCTTTCAATGTTTTTATTAATTATTTAATTAGATTTATTTAAAGTTATCGCATTCAGGCCACCACTATATTCGTCATACGCTTATCAAGCACATTTTCGATCGCAATTTATGCTACATAATACATTAGGATAAAAACATAAGACTATATGAATTAGTAGCAGCTCTCTCTGCAATAGAGTTTAGGCTTAAGCGTTGTTAGAAATTTGTATTAATATAAATACGTTCAAGAAATAACGAAATATATTATTTATTTTTGGAATTCTAAAATACAAATATGTTATATGCTGATATGCCTAAACGGAAAAAAACATTTCATTTCAAAATAAATAATAAATAACTACAGTGGAAAAATTTAAAGAAAGAAATGGATTATAAACTTTTTGAATTAAACTAGAGATATGGGGTGTCACATAACAATTTAACACTCAAAAAGCAAACACTCAATGTCTCAAACATTAATTCAGGAAAAATGCAGTAAGTAGGGCTTCAACGGATAGAAAGATTGCAAGAATGCGATGAGTGATGGAAAATAATTTTTTTACGAAATCATAAGGTATTTATATAGCAAAAATAAATAAAAAAGATATCTTAGTAATTTAAAAAGAAATCAAGTTACCAGGAAGAGTAGTTAACCATTTTTAAATAAAAATTATTCTTAACATAATGAGTTACTTTTGACTTTTGACTTTTGAACTCATCAAGATGAATTAATTAATATCGTGAATAAAAAGTTTTTAATGGATTCACAAATGGTGTATGAGCGAGTGTATTAAAATAAAACGATTTTGATAGTGATTACGTTATGTGTGCAAAATGTTGGTCATGTGCCAGGTTTCGCTGTCATACAATAGTATAGTATGACAATACAATAGTATTTCCAGCTTGATTGATTTTTTAATGACTGTGGATCTCCAAACTGGAGAGAGTGCAGCAAATGTACATTTAGCTATCTGTGGGCGGCTTAGCACATCGCAAAGGACAATACACTGCCGAGATACTTATCAACTAACAATAAATTGTGATTGTTTACGAAGTGTGGAGTTTGTTTACAAGACTTTTTGCGCATCGTTTTTGATTTACCGTCGTTTATTTTTAAGCGACTTTTATACGACACTTCAGATAGGGAGTTGAGCATACAATGCATCTTACTGTGGTTTTGTGAGAGCAGAACTAAATCTTCGGCGTAAGCGAGGTTATTTGATCTCTCATTTAGTTTCTACTTTACCTTGCTAGATAAAGTCCGTAGCCTCTAGAAATAAACAGGTGCATGGAGAGCGCGCAGCCATACTTGACTCCGCAAATCGTATGAAACTCATCACTTTATCGTCCTGTGTGCAATGCCCTGCAAGTCGCGCGATCATACGAATATTTTATGACATATTTTAGCTTTATCTCGGGCTTCCAGCATTGCCCATAATGCTTCCCTTCGTAGGGCGTCGAAAGCCTTATCAAAGTCAATAAATGCCATATATAGGAGTTTCAAGCTCTACAAATTGTTCGATCCGGATTCTCGTTGTGATCAATGCAGGAGTGACCTCGTCGGAAACCAGCTTGGTACTTTTTTATTGAAGAATCTATGGCATCTGCGATATGGTAAATGATGGTAGTGCTTAAATTTTAGTAACACCACAAAAAATTGATAAATCGCGCCAATTGGAGCATGGGTATGTAAAAATGCTATACAAAAACTGTAAGAGTGCGTGAACACCTATGTTGCAAAATTGCATTATCAAACTGAAATAGCTGTTTTTGCAGTCGTATATTGAGCAAAGAAAAATAAAAGTATTCTTATACTTTTATAAGAACAAATGCCACGAACAAGTGAAATACAAAAATTTATAGATGTCTTAATTGAAAATAGTGCTCTTAATATTTTTACTAAAGGACATTAATACCCTGTTAATGTTAACATTTTACGAACCTCATGTGATGGTACGGGGCAATGAGTTTATACGAGAGAGTAAATACCCCTAATAATAATTTAAAGAGATATTGCTGATAAAGAAAAAAAAAATACATTTGATGTTGACATTTGATTTAATACCTACAAAAAAGAAAAAAGCTTTTTGTAATTAATGACTTTTTATGTTAACAAAATACGCTACAGCGTACCAATTAGAAAATAAGATTTGAATTAGAAATATAATCTTTCGACAATTGTGACAGAAATGATTAAGAACTTATTGGCATTAAAGCAGTTTGACTGTCTGTTAGTATGTACTCCTATACAATATTTATTAGACAAGCTATATCTTCCCTAAGAGCGATTATTTCTGCCTAAAAAACACTGTAGTGATCAGGAACTTTATATGTTAATATGTACATTCTTCAGTACCTCCAAGAAAATTCTACTGCTTGCATTGCTACCTATTTTTGAGACGTTAGTCTATATTATTAAACTCTTTCCTAAGGAGGTACATCCCGGCAGCCAAGTGTCTCTAGATTTGCAATAAATTTTCAAATATATTTCAATATTTTTTATGATATAGGACTGAATGATTATGAATTGAGCCGTTATCGTAATCTCTACCCTTCTACTGCAAAGTGACTTCAAGTCTAAGAGTATATCATGTCAACATCTGGTATAGTGGATGGAGTGATTCTCAATGTACCTATTGGAGTTCACCCCTACGTTGCACGCTTTTGAGTACTTTAATGTAAATTTCACTTGTACACAAATGCGATATGTAATGTTATTTAAAATTAATAAGTTTAAATTTTTGTATCAATAACTAAATTCAATTCTGAATTCTAAATCCAAGGTTTCAAATAATCTACTGATAATAGATTTCTGTAGATATTGTTGCAGTTATATTTATATAGATATTTTTTTTGTATGAACTAAGTGATCAATAATCTCAAAACCAGTCAACACACTTCTCGAGTACTATTAGGAGAGACTTCTTTGTTTAACTTTTAGATTTTACAGCTTGTATAACAAATAACTCTTGATTTTATAAAAATCATTATTAAATAGAAAGATTTGGAAGAGTTATTTATAACGGTGACTGATTATAAATTTTGTGGATCGACAATAAATTTTATATTATTTTGTGCTGTTGCTTATCTTTTAATAATAATTTGCAAAAAAAAAAAAATAATACCAATCACAAATGTAAATTTTGTAAGGAATCTGAAACAGTACTGATTTTATCATATCTGGTTGTAATTCCTAAAATAACTTTTAATACGATGTTCAGTTTAAACATCAGTGAACGAAAATAAAAAGTACAGTATTTTAGTTAACTGCTCATATCCGAACCAAGAATACAAGTGGCAAATAGATGCTTCTATAAATACATAAACCTTATGAAATCCAGACTACTATCGAAATAAGTAAACTTCGAATATATAAAACGATAAAAAGATCGAGAGCAACTTATGGCTCGAAATGCTGGACAATGACAAGGACGAAGACCGCCGCAATTTTTGAAAGAAAGATAGTTCGCCAAGTATATGACCCTATTAGAATGGATAATGAGACATTTAAAAGACGAACAAACAACGAAATTGATAACGGGTTATCAATAATATAGTAAAATTTGTCAAAGCACAAAGTCTGCAATGAGCAGCTCACGTTGTAAGAATGGGACCAAAAAAGAAATCCGACCAATATCTTTAATGCTAATCCTATGATAACAAGGCACAGTGGTAGATTGAAGCTGAGATGGAAGGAAAACGTGTACGAGGACGCCAGAAAGTTCGGAGTTCTGAATTGGAAAACAAATGCACAAGATCGAAGCATATGGAGGCAGGTTGTGGCAAGCATATGGAGGCAGGCCAAGGTTCACACTGGATTGTAGTGCCAAATAAAAAGAATAAGTATATTTTATTGCAAATAGGTGATTGCATTATAAATTTTTTTGAAATTTTTTATATATAATACAGTATAAAAGAGTAAAAAATTCTTTCTTTTTTGTTGTTTACTGTATTTACTCCTACATTTACTTTTTAAGTTTTTATGTATTTAACATTATAAATGTATTTTAATTTCGGTTACATGGTTTTTTTTCAGATTCCAAAATGGAAACTAATTCAATATATCCTCATTCTGCTACACTTTTTGCTGCAATTTGCGCTTGTGTATTTGTGGTTGTTGGAGTATTTGGTAAGTTATATGAAATGTTCTACTCTTGTAATCAATTATCAGCCAATTTAAGTTTATAATGATTATAATGTATTATTATAAAATAGAAATTTATATATTTATAAAAATATTAAGTTGGAAATTTTACATTGCATTCACAGATGCTTAAATGTTCTTTAATTATATGTAATACTTATTTAAAATTTATAAGGTACATTTAATTGAAGTTTCATTTAAATTTTCGGTGTCGTCCCAGACTCGATTCCACTATTTGCATAAAAATGCTTAGAACAACGATATGACGTTATACCTAGGATCGTTGTCCTAATAAAAATTAAAATTTTCTGCGATACTCAACTTCTCTGCACTTTGCTTTACATTCTGTTTCAGAATGTCGAGGTATCCAGATTTGTCCATTTTACTATCTATAAAATGCAATTACCTACTCCCGCACTCGACATACAACCCCAAACCTCTATGTTTTATAGTGGTTTTTGTATTGTGATGATTGAATTCTGCATTTGGTTTACGCCACACAAACATTTTACCATCAGATCTATTCAGATTAAATTTACTTTCATCAGTGAAAAAAACTTTAAAAAAATGAAAATTATCAATGAAAATGTATTTAAGATGATTTACCATCAATTTACTTGATTCCAAAGGCTTTTATTCTTTTGTTTTTTTAATTTTTAATACTTATAAACGGCTTCTTTCTGGGAATTCTTCCGTGATAATTGAATTTATGTAATGTATTACGAATAGTATTTAAACATACACCTTTCCCAGAGCGGGATTTTAATGAAAATTTAAAGTCTCTTGCGGTTTTAAAAGAATTTTTCTTTATTTCTTTTAATATTGAACGTTCTTCTCGATCATTTAATATTTCGCCTTGAGCTGCTCTGATCTCATTGGCCAGCCTAAACTCATCATGGGACCTCTTGATAATGTCTTTGATAGTAGACTGACTTATTCCAACTAAATTGGCAATTTCTCTAACGGTTTTACTTTCAAAATTTAATTTAATTATTAATTATAGATTGCTTTCTATTTGGTGCTATTGTTATACTATTTAATATTACTTAATTGTTATATTTGTTGTGAGAATTATTACAGATTATTATTGTTGGAGCAAAACAAAACATCAAACTTAACTGCTCCACCCTGTACATAAATTTTAAGGATGTATATAAAGAAGACCCTGATTGACGCTTACTCAAAAAGAATAGACAGTACAGTATTACAATTACATATCAAAAATAGCTCGAATGAATCCGTTAACTGTTCCCCATATCAGTCAGAGTAAGAGTGCGGTACAGAAGCAATCTGAAAAGCAAACACAAATAAAATTGCATTTTGAAATAGCAAAATCAAGACAATGTTAACAATTTTCTTTGTTTTAAAGGAATTGTGTTGTTTACTGTTATAAAATATAATCTATTACTTGAATAGCTGCAATAGATGCATGTATTTTTATCTGCTGTTTTAGCCCAGAGAGATGATTGCATCCTAGATTAATACAGCAAGTGAATCTTCACAGCAAATTAACGGAAATTCTAAGTTAAAACATACAAGTCAGGCCTTGAGTCAGTTGTGTAATTAACACTGACACAGCTCTAAACTTGATAGGGAGCAAGTTTACCTTTTGGTGCTTGCAATCTCAAAAAATTATTTACAAATAATTTAATATACCATAAGTAATACAGTCGACGCTCGCAAATTAGAACCACTTTGTTTTTAAGGTAATTCTAATTTCTGGACAAATTTTTTATTAGAATGTAAATAAAAAATGGAAAAAACTCACTTAAAAAAATACAATAGATTTATGTTTTTACTATTTTTTATTTAATAAAAATAAGTAAACGAAACTAAACAATACAGTGCAGTGCACGTAATATGTATTTTTTAAAAAATATAAAAATAATTGCGATAATTTGGACCAATAAAATTAATTCAAAGTTAAGGAGACGCAGACGGCATATTGTGCAAGTTTAAAACTAATCTTTCCGTTATTTACTAAATCTGAGGCAACGATGTCGTTGCCTAGAGCCAGCAGATTGCTTATGTGCTTAGTGGACAACAATTGACTCTTGTTGTACCATTTTATTAAATTATTAACGCTCTCAATGGCTGTCGAGTTGGAAACAACTGTGAAGACTTCAACAATATTACTTCTATCAGAAGACTCAACATCATTAGTGAATTCATGTGAAGATCCGTCAGCAAACACATCTTCATTCCATCTTTCAATATCTTTTACACAAATGCTATTGTTGAGATCTATTTTTGCTAAAAGAGCTTGAGTACTCTGAATAACTTCATTGCATCTCTGATCTGCTTGCAGCAATTGTACTAGTGGCACATCATCGTCGCTATCATACTGATTAGTGTCCCAGTTGAACAACTTTGACCAAGATGCCTTAATCACTCTTTGTACCTCATCCCAAGCTTGTTTCAATAGTATTATCGCATTGCGGATTGAATGAGATTTCAAACTATTCTTTATGTCACCACCCTCAGCAATTAATTGAGAAAGAAAAATACTTCTGTAGATTAGCTTGGTTAACTTAATAGGATTGTGATCCATTGGTTGTAAAACTGCTGTCACATTTGGTGGAAAGAATAATGCAATTATGCTTCCATCGTTACTTCGGAGTTTTTCAATTGGCGCATGAGCAGAGCAGTTATCGATAAGCAAAATGTCTTTTGGAGGCAAATTGTTTTCTTGAGAAAAGCGGATCACCTGTGGGTTGAAAATATTTTAAAACTACTGAACCTACAATCAATTTTTTTTTTATATCTTTAATAAATATTTTTTGAAACTAAACATGAAAAATGCGAGACGCTATCCAAGCATTTTTTTGAATAGTTGTAATGAAGTGGATTATTAAATCCTTGAAAACTTGGCTTTTTCGCTTTCCCAATAACCAATGGCACTAATTTATGTGATCCATCAGAGTTTGCACCAAGTAAAATTGAAATTCTTTCCTTTTGAATTTTATATCCAGGGGCAATTTTTTCGAAAGTAGAGACGTATGTTCTATCAGGTAGGCAGCGGCAAAATAATCCACTTTCGTCTACATTATATATTTGTGATTCGAGAAATCCCATCTCATTAACCTTTGCACGAAAACTGTAAATGAACTGAGTGACTGAAGAAACATCATTAATTGCCGCAAATTTTTAATAAACGGATTCCGTGTCGCTTCTTAAATTTAGTAAACCATCCGTCACTAGCTCGGAATGTATTTTCAGCTTTATCGGGATATTCCTCTCTGAATATTTGTCTGGGTTTCTCCTTTAATATCGGTCCACTTGTACATTTTTTTTACGTTAATTTAAGAACCACTAATAAAGGCTCTTTTCCATTTGGGGATATTCAGCGCTGCACAGGGATTTGCTCGTTGCCTCATGATAGGTATTTGGGACAGCATTTAAAACTGCTGCTCTTTTTGATTTTATATAGTTGATCTATAGATGATCTACTTAGAGACTATTGAGACTGTGAAAATGTGTGCACGCATATCAAATTTCACATAAAAATACACAATAAATAGCGAAAAAAAGGGATTCCTCATTTTTGTTCTGCTTTTTTCAACATAAAATTGCGAACAACATAAATAAATCCAAACAAAAAAAAGACGCTCAGAAATTAGAATTTTTAATTCTAATTTTAGAGCGTTTAATGCTTTACAAACTTCAATTCTAATTTCTGGAAGATTCGAAGTTCTGATTTGTGAACTTCGACTGTATTTCCTAAAAGACTATTGATGATGGGCATTTGGCAATATTTAAACTTGCATGGTCAGCCAAAATTTTATTAATTACATACAATAAAATTTTTTTGTTATATATTACTACTGTTAAAAAATATCTTAAAATCTATATTTACTTACAGGCAATTTGATAACTATACTTGCTCTACTTAAATGTCCTAAAATTAGAAGCCACGCCACAACAGCATTTGTTTTATCATTAAGTGTTTCAGATTTATTGTTTTGCTCTTTTAGTTTACCTCTAACAGCTATCCGTTTTTTTCAAGAGGTATTTAAAGTAATATCTGTAACACTTTCTTAAATAATAATCTATATAATTTCAGGATTGGACTTTTGGTAATACTTTATGTAAGATATTTCCCGTAATATTCTATGGTAACGTAGCAGTGTCTTTGCTGAGCATGGTGGGAATTACATTAAATAGGTACAGAATATATAATTTGTATTATAAGTTAAATTTAGCTACAATAATTTACGAAGAATACTAAATCAAGCTTAAGCTTAAATAACATACATAGGTTTAGTGAAATACTGTAGATCGAAAAATACTATGTGTAATGTTGAAATACTATTAAGAGATGCTTCATCTACTTTTCGTGGTAAATGATAACATCAAGATATGTGAAGACAAACGGTTCGAGATCTGCCTCGGTTATGGTGTTCAATACTTATTTAAATGTGTCGGGCGCAAAGTGAAGCCGTAACAGCATAATCCTTCAATATCCACTGGCCTTGTTTGCATAACCGGGTTTTTTTCGAAAATTCCTATTATAAGCTATTATAAGTGATATCACTGGCTCCCTTAATATTATCAAATTTTGGTAATTACATATGCTGTAGTTGTAGCGCTCGCTCTACGACTGTAAAATCAAAATAGTATATACATATATATATATGCACTTTAGTTGTTTTGTTTTTTTCTTGAATAACTTGAATGCCCTGGGCAACTGAATACAAATGTTCGTGCTTTTCACTAATATTACGATTCGACTCTTTCTCTAACATGTAGATATTTTTTTCTACTTACTTAACAACCAGGAATATTTACCTAATTTAAGGAAAAACTCTCATGTAGAATTAACATCACAGTTTGATTTGCTTAAAGGTGTATTTTCTGCTTTTGACCTCTTTTATCCGGCTAATGGGTTCATTTTTCTTTACCAATTGCAATAAAATTTCTTGTATTAAAAACTGTTTGCCTAATATATTGTTGTAAATATAATCTTGTTCAACAGTGATCTTGTCGCATCAAATCCTGCAGTTCTAGCACGAAATCCTTAAGACACGCATAACGTTCTTGACGTCGATTATATGTCATCTAGCGATTTCATATACGTATAGGTAAAAAAAATTGTCCAATTGATTTCATGCCTATTGTTATGACATCGTCTCACCTTGTCAGTAATTCTGCTATTGTTCTGTGTAAACAAATTTGTTAAAATATCGTAAATAGCTGACAATTGTGCTAATCTCTGAACACAGACCAACACTCCAGATTCTCTAGAAAAACACACCGCAAGTTTACAAATCTATATATATTCTATATATATAAAAAAAATAAAACTTTTATTTTCGACCACACTTATATCAATAGGTTAAATTTCATTGGAATGAATTTTAGGTGGTTTATTAAGAAAACAATTGAACTTTATCAGATTTTTTCGGTTTTCAGTTCCGTTTCAATATATTTCATGTATTTGTATGCAATTTTCTCCCCTATAATTAAAATGCTAATTCATTCTTTTAGAAAGCATAGTGCATAACAAAATTTCTGCTTATATAAATAACGATATATTTTTCAGCTTCTTGCTCAAAATTGCTTAAGTAAATTTATATGTAAATTAAAAAAGAAATGAAACTTAAAAATAAAACTTAAAAATAAATTTCAAAAATTATCATTATCATTACTAGAGCTGAAAAAAACTTTCAATTATCGACTGCTTTAAGTATATATATAACTGTTAATAAATTATTTCCTATTTCGGTTCAATAGTGTGTTGCATTTTAGTTTTAAATTAAATGATTTAGTTAACATATGTTTCTTATTTTATGAATAATTTAAGTCAATTTAAAGTATATTTCAAAAAAAAAAAAAAAATTAATAAAAAATCAACAACTAAAGCACAACTATATTGTGCTGAACCGAAATAAACCGATATATTTTTTTCGGTTTGGTTCCGGTTTTCGTTCCAGCAAAAATATCGATTTTTTCCGGTTGACGATTTGGTTCCGGTTTGATGGTATATTTTATGTTGTCAAATTAAAGGAATTTGTAGATCTCTGTGAATGCTTTCATTCCTAATATACAATGAGTCACCAGTGATTGTTTCTAGTGTTTTTGATTGAGCTCTTTGGATAATTTCAATATTTGAAGCTTTAGCTGGATACCAAAAGGCCATATTGGTTTTATGATCCTATAACACAAAAGTACTTTATGCACAAGAAGGATCTGTTATTAATGAGTTAATACAACTTAAAGGCTTGGACCCTCATTTTAGTTTTTTGGCTTCAGTCACCCCTATTCTGAATTGCATGGGAATGGGAGTTTATTCGCTATTCCCAAGTTTGCTATTCTGAATAATTTAAGAATGGGAGTTTTCTTGTCTGTTCCAAATTTTCCTATTCTAAATCGTATGGGAATGGGAGTTTTTTTCCCAATTTTGCACAAATTCTTTCCCAAGCAAATTGATTGGGAGACAAGTTAAAAAAGTATTAAAAATAGTTTAACTTAATATGAAAGTAACTGAAAATGATCAGATTTTTGAATAAATTTTAATAAAATTATTATTATTATAAAATTATGATGAATTTAATATTTTTAAAGTTTAATTTATTTATTTTATCCAAGAGTTGATTATTTTTTTGAATGTATTTTAATAAAATTATTATAATAAACGTAATATAATTAAATTTTTATTTAATATATTTTATTAAAATTATTATTTCAATAAGAATATTATTACAAATGTAATATATTTAAATTTTTACTTATTTATTTTATTCACTAGAGTTTTTTGCCACAAGTTAAAGCAATAACTATTGTTATTTAAAACAATAGATAATGAAAAAAACCCAAATTCTGAAATGAATGAGATTCCTAGAATAACTTAAAATAAACTTTTGCAATTATGCGCAGGTAAAACATTGCTTTTTTTATTGTAACATCTGCACAATCTTAAACTATTATTAGTTTATTAATTTTAGGACATTTCTATCCTAATTATAAAAATAAATACAAATTTTGCAGAGGAATTCAAATTTTAGTTAAATTGATAATTTCAATTCATAAAAAAGATATTTTCCTTTGTTTTATTGTATATAAGAAAATAATAAATTATATACGTTCTGCTCAAAAAGTATTGGGATTTTGTAAATAAAACACACAAATTTAAATTTTATTCCAAATTTATTTTATCTCCTTCAAAATATGCCCCTTCTGATGCGATACACATATGCCAAAGCTTAACCTAATCTTCCATACACTTTTCGTAGGCCCGTGAAAGTATGGCTTTTAGTTCCTTCAGCGAATTCTCTTTTACCGATTCAATCGACTCAAAACGCTTACCACGAAGGGGCAATTTGAGTTTCGTGAACAGGAAAAAGTCGCACGGCGCCAGATCTGGCGATTATGGTGCCTGAGCGATGACAGTGGTGCCGTGTTTGGTCAAAAAATCGGGTACAACAAGAATTTCCATAGTAAAAATCGCTAAATGCACTTGAGGTAGTCTCACATTAACAGCTGCTGTAAAAAACTAATTGACAGATGGCGCTCAAATTTGTACCATATGTCAAGGAAGGGTGTACAAATTACTAAACAAACAAATTACTTAAGGAGTAGTTAACAAACAACAAAATCCGGATACTTTTTGACCAGAAGGTACATATATAAATAATAAAATAAATAAAGTAAAAATTTTCTATTATTTCCTTATAAAATATTCATTATATTTATTTCTGATTATTTGTGCAGCAGACAAATAATGAGATTTTTATATTTAAATCAACATATGATACGCAATTTTTTTCTTTGTTTTGCTCATTTTCGCTTTACTCGTCATTAAAAAGTACCATGGTTGCCAAAATTTAACAAAACAAATTTAAAACTGTTGTTGTTCCCAAAACTGCTGTCTCCCAAGCAATTTAGAATAAGGGAGTTGTGTTCACTAGGAGTATTCAGAATTGCTATAAATATGTTTGCGCCAAGTTACGCGCCCGTCTAGATAAATACCTAAGAACATTATATCATCTGCTTGTGGTATGAGAATGTTATTTAGTAAAATTGTTGGAGATATTCTCCGATGTAAAGTAAAAATGACGTGTCTATATTTTAGTTTATTAATTTTAATTCGCTATTTTGACAACCATCACCCAAAATAAGTGAGAGTGAACGTTCTTGTTTCGGCTTAAAATGGTTTTATCATCGGCAAAGTATATTGACAACTGAAATATTTATTGGGACATCAGATTTGTAAAGTACATATAAGATATGGTCAAGAACATTTCCTTGTGTAACGCCAGCTTCTATTGAAAAATTAATAGAAGTAAATAATTTATATTTCAATATATTTAATTAAATTATTTAAATAAATTTAAATAAATATATTTATATTATATCTGTTCTGTAGATATGATTCTAAAACTGAGTGGACATTTTCAGGTTATAAACTGCGAATCTTGTAAATAAGCCTATTATGCCATACTTTGTCAATTGCTTGTTTTAGATCGGAAAATACCACGAATATTCTTTGTGCTCAAATGCGTGCCTTATTTCGTTCATTATACGATTCGCTTGTTCAATAGTTTCATGTTTTTCTCTAAATTCAAACTGGTGGGAGGGTGTTATGTTTTGATCATCAAGGAATGGTTTAAGCTTTAAAAGCAGAACTCTTTCAAAGAGTTTAGAAAGACATGACAGAAGGATTACTGTCCTGTATGAAGAGGTAAAAGATAGATCTTTGCCTGATTTATGAACCATTTGGTAAGTTTTTTTCATGATGGGTGAGATGTTATCATATGGCGGTGTCTTTTTGCAGACTAACTTGTTGGTGATTATTTGAACAAGATCGTTGGCCGTAATTTTCATGTCAATAGATGGTGCATAAAGAGGTTAGTGAAAAAATTATAATGTCCTTTTGCAGGATTTGATTGGAATACCTCTTTTGAGTAATCAGCAAATACGTTAGGTTTTTCTTCATCGCTTCTTGTTTCTGAGAGAGTTTCTTATTGGATAATCAGATTCTATGGGAGAATTGCTACCTTTGCTAGTATTCCATAAGGATGAGTGTTTTTTTTACCATTTACACATAGGTTTTGAATAAGGATATATAGTCTGAATTTGGTTTCCCTGCTTAATGTAGTTCTTAGTTTCCTTTGGGCATTCTTAAACAAGGTTTTCGCTGAAGGAGGTCTACATTTTTGCCATTC